GTCTGGCGAGCGCACGCGCCCTATAGCGAAAACCTCTCCAGAAAAAGGAAAAAAAAAAAAAAAGATATGTATTAGGTCATTGGGAAAGTCTTGATTTTTTTCTATGGTTTTCTCTGCAAAACTTCGTCATGACTCTCCTGACCCAATATTAAGCATTACTAGCTTCCAGATATTGTTACAGGGGAAAAAATTCCTTTTCAAATAGATATAAACTGAAATATTGAATTAAGTCTTAACCGAAAAAGATTAAATCAAAGAAAGATATAAATGATCGCAGGGTCGGCCTGGTCGCCCACGGGTAAGGAAGTGGGTTCCTACACAGCAGGCCGTGTTCCAATGCAGGCCTCAGCGACTTGCGTGTGCACGCACGTCCCCAAACGTGACGGGCCGGGAGACGGAGGAGAAGGGGTTATGACAGGACCACACCCCACTGGGGGGGCGCGTTCTCCCCCTCCCTGTACCTGTCTCTCTCTGGTAATGAAGAAGGAACGAAAGAGAAAAGGGAAGGAGGGAAAGGGGAGTGAGAGAGAGAGAGAGGAAGGGAGGGAGGGAGGGAGGAGAAAGGTAGGTGAACTCTATTTGGGTAAAATGTTACCCCTGGAAAAACTGATGAAGACGGGGCCGGCAGGTGGCGTGGTGGTTAAGGGTGCTGGACTCCTCTTGCCGGACTCCTCCTGCCTGGCCAACCACGGTTCGAGTCCTGGACCAGGTGGTCTGCTGTCTCACTTTCCCTCTCTCTCTCTCTTTATCTCTCTCTGGTCAAATTAAAATGATAATAAATAAAGTTAAATTAAATTACTTTTTTTTAAGTGATGAAGAGAGAAGGGGAAGGAACGTGTTCCCCCTGCAGTTACCGCACGCGCCCTCTGTGTAGCATGCACACCCTTCATTCACGTAAAACACACGGAAAGAAGTGGGCAGGGGGGCGCAGGCCAGAGTCGAGATCGGGGCGCTCCAAGGCCCAGCAGCAGAGGCACAAGGAGACATGGAGTGGCTAGAGAGGTGGCAGAGGGGCAGGCGGGCTTGTCCAGTGGCATCTGGGAGGAGCAAGGACCCCGCGGAGAGCACAGGAAGGTGGGAGACTCAGTAAGCCCCTTCGGAGCAGTGCGCGCTGAGGGAAGGTGGGAGCGGCACAGCCACCCGGTTAAGGGACAGGATCGGTAGACTTGGAAGCTCGGCTGAGGTTCACAGTCATGAATTTAGAGACTGACAGCGCTCGGACTCAGCAGGGGGGCTCTTCAGCTCCGCAGCCGCAGACATGAGCAGGCCGAGGCTGGCTCTAAGTGGGACTGAGAACGCAAGTGGAGGGCAGACGAAGGCTGCGGGGGGTGGCATGCACAGGCTGGCACTGGTGGAGGGGGACGGGGACAGTGAGCTGGGCAGGAGGGGGTGCCAGGCAGCGTGGACGCTCGGGACAGTGGCTCCCAGATGGCAGCTCTGACGAGGCTTAGGGGACGGCTGTTGTAGCAGCTGGCTGCGTCGTGAAGAAGACGGGGTCCTCGGAGCAGAGGACGTCAGATTGGCCAGGAGCAAGGAGGATCTGCACATGGCGTCAGTAACTTGGGGGGCGGGGGTGGGCAGTGCTGACACGCTCAGTGTCCACCATTTGTGGGAAGGAAGCAGGTGCTCACCTCCTCGGCCCAGGCCCAGAGGGTGCAGGTGTGGGAGGGTCATTCAGGGCCCGGCAGGTGGGGCCGCACACCCCCATCTCCTTCCAGGTGGACAACGGTGTCTGGGGGCCAGGAGCACGCCCCCTCTCCTGGGCATTCTGTGGCCACCTGGGCTGCAGGTGCAGTCAGGAGGACACCCACAGCCCCAGCAGACAGTACACCCGGGAGCTGGTGCCCAGCTCTGCAGATGTCTGCCCGGCCAAGAGTCTCAAGCGAGCCCCCGTGGTCCGCAGGTCGGAGACCGCTGCTACGAGGAGGGGCTATATGAGGCTGCCAGGCTGCTCTACAGCAGCGTGTCCAACTTCGCCCGCCTGGCGTCCACCCTGGTCCACCTCGGGGACTACCAGGCCGCCGTGGACAGCAGCCGCAAGGCCAACAGCACCCGGACCTGGAAGGAGGTGAGCCACAGGAAGCGTCCAGAAGAGCAGTGGCCTGGCGGGCATCCTCTCCCCATGCCTTCTGCTGCAGTCCACACTCTCCTGCCAAACGGGATGAGCCTGGGGGGGTGGCCTCTTGTTGGGGTCCTCGGGGACAGCTCGGGGAACCTCGTAGCATTCACAGTTAGCAGAAAGGCCCCAGAGAAGCCCAGGTCAGATTACCCAGCTCCCAGAAGCTGTCTGAACAGCATGGAATTCTCAATACGGTAAATATGATTGTGCCACTTTAAAGTCACGTGGCCTGGCCCACAGCATAACCGCGAAAAGCCGGTGTTATTCGTCTCTTATGGCAAAGGCGTAGGGAGGTTGCCTTGAGGCTCTCCGATAATACCAGAATCATCTTTAAGTGGAAAAAAAATCTTAGTAAAGAAATGTACAAAAAGACTCAGCTTCCACGCATTTCCGACTATTGTTCAATAAAAGATTCAAATCAGCCCTGAGATTCCACTTCGAGGCCTTAGTTAAAACAGCGCACGAGGGGGCGTTCACAAGGCTCTTGGGAAATGCGTATTATCCAAAAAGATGCATGCATTTCAAATAGTTTGTGCCACCATAAACTCGTACATTCACCCTGTCCTTCCACAACCTTTCCAAGTCCCTTCGCGCACACGGCGACTCCGCCCTGCTGCTGAGAAGGCGGAAACAGCACTGAGGACGCTGCTCGGAGGTCATTATCCTTGAGCTGCATTGAACTCTTTTCAAACCCCTCGGAGCTTGAGCAGTAACGCAGGCTCTTTGTTCTGTCCACGGTCTCCAACACCCCCTGGCCTGCAGATTCAGAAATGCCATCCTTTTCTCCTCCTAGGCCCATGCAATTACCTCTGAGTTATCCGAAGCCCGTCTTAGAATGACCTGCTTGTTCAGAACCCAACTTCCAAAGCCCCGTGGGCTGGTTTTTCTGTATTTTCAGCGGCGACCCCGAGCCAGCCGCCACAGCGTTGTGCCTTGTCCCGGGGGCGCTCACTCTGCACCGTCTCCTAGGTGTGCTTCGCCTGCGTGGCCGGGCAGGAGTTCCGCCTGGCGCAGCTGTGCGGCCAACACATCGTGGTGCACGCAGACGAGCTGGAGGACCTCATACAGTGCTACCAGGTGACTTGAGTCCGGCCGGGGACGATCTCTGATACCAAAACACTCCTGAGGGGGGACGGTCCTGCCCTCAGGAGCGGCGGTCACAGTGTCGCACCTGCAGATGAGAACGTGCAGAGCATGGCGTCTGTGGGGAAGATAGCTTGCTAGGCAGCCCGTTTATAAATTAAATTCAGGTTGGCTTGCTAACTGTCCTTGGCTCTCACAGCTGCTTGGCATGATTTCTTTTTTTTTTGGAGAGGTTTTATTATTATTTTTTCTTGCTATAGGGCACATGCACTTGCCAGACAGACAGACAGAGACAGAGAGACAGAAAGCAAGAAATCACCCCCCCCAGGGGGGATGGTCACGCCGCAATCCCTACTCCTCCATTCTTCTCTTGGGATCTTGGGAACGCATGCACATGCACCGGGCGTGAGTTTTAAGCCACCGGGTCCGGGACGCGAACCGCGGTCGACTATGTGGGAGTCCAGCGACATAGCCATT